CCATCACAAAGTATTTTCATGGATCGCTTTCCCATACGGTACGAGTGCACCGACCAACCACTCATGCGTCTGGTCTGGAGGGAGTGTTTGCGTTGTGAGTGGAAACCGGATATATCCGTTCGATGAAACTATCAACAGGGGCCAAGCTGCAGATAAGCATGTAGAATCTGTCTAGGACCCAGCCAGATAACGGAAGTTTTGAAGAAACAGCGGGATGACAACACAAACAACAGGTTGCGAACGCAGATGCCCATCCAGATCTGGGAGCACATGCTCGTGATGCACAAAACAATTGGGTAAAAATAGGCTGGACCATATGTACAAAACACAGTAACCCGGGTTTATATATACCGACCTCGTGGAGATGGTTGTTACTGTTACACCAGGGGTGCAAAAGATGAGGGACCTCGTTAGACAATCTCCTGCCGTAATGTTCTCGTTGAAGTTTTGGTGGTTCCAAGGCGATAAAAGGTGTCGGTGGCAGGACCGAAGCAGGTGCACTCTGGTCAAAAGCGAAGGTGCATAAGTAAGCTCCGGGTGATACCAACAATCATTGTATTCAACGAAGTCAGGTGTTGAAATTGTGGTCGATATTTCACGGGGGTCGCACGTATTTGCGACCGATCAAGGGGAACAAAGTTGACGAAACGTTAGTGATGAGAAACATGGCAGGCAAAATGTATAACCCGCGGTATGCATCAGCAGTGGAAAAAGGGATGATCAGAATCTGAGCCTTGACGGTAATCTGTTGCAACACTGGCTCAGAATCATGATCATATACAGAATAACTCAACAAAGGTAGAGGCTCTGCCCATCGCCCAATATCTGGCAGCTTCCCACTGAAATGCTAGGTTGATTTTTTTTCTGCACTGCGATCGATGAAAACTGCCATGTAACATTCAGTAACACTCAGAGATAACATAACAGTTCCAAGATACTAGCGAACGAGTCGCAACCTGAGTAACTTGCAACAGCAGTCGAAATGTGTAGTCTCCAATCCAATAGTATGGGGTAATTTCGTATGAATCGATTGTGGATTAACAGTTGTTGGCGGCCCCGCCGTCTCAGGCGTTAATTCTTCGGCCCAACGGCGACGGGCTTACTAATGATGTAATTGATTCACGGCGTAAGGAGCAAGCTTGGAGCAGCACCTCATTCTCCATACCTCATATATATACCTCATTCTTTTCCCCTCGACATTCTTGATACTCTACATGTCGAGCTTTCCCGATTACTATGCGCTGCTCAACGTTTCAAAGACGGCCACCGCCGAGGAGATCAGGCAGGCTTATAAAAGGGAGTCACTCAGGTGCTTTGACAGTCATGACTAGTAGCACTTCTCTACTTAACCATTTAGCTTTGCAGGACTCATCCAGATAGATTTGCCAACGCCACTGAAACGGAGAGAAAGACGGCGACAGAAAAGTTTCAAGTTCATGCAACGTATCTACTGCCGTAGAAAGCATGTTAACCTATCAAGCAGGCTGTAGCCGATGCCTACTATGTTCTATCGGATCCAGCACGACGGAAAGAATATGATGTACTATTCTCCTCGAAGCGGGCTGGGGATAAAACCAGTGACCCCAAGGCGTCTTCGAGTTTCTTCACGCAATTTGCCAGCATGTTTGGAGGTGCAGGTGCAACACCAGCTCAAGGGCCGAGACCTGATGCTGAGAACGTGTTTGCGGACGTATTTGAAGAGGTTCTACTTCCACTTTCTCAGCCCTGTATATTAGTTAACTATTGTATAGCTGCTCCGTCCAGAGGTCGAACGTCATGCGCCATGGTGGTCATATATTGGCGCCGTTTGTGGTGGTGGTTGGTTATTCATCTTCTTATACAATTCTCTTAATGAACCATTCATCTATTAGGAATGGGATTCATAGTCGCCAACCTGCCAGGTCTCATGATAGGCGCATATGCAGGTAACCGCGTCGGTGCGATACGTGATGCCAAAGGTAAGAGTGTTGCTGCGGTATTCTCCGAACTCGGAGGTAGCCAGAAGGCCGAGGTCAGCACTGAATTCGTTGACTCTATTGTGCCGTCTGACGAGGTCTAACCAGATCTTGCGCGCTTTAGCTGCGAAGGTGTTAGGTGCCACTATGCAATAAACACGTTATAGTATGCATCGTACCTATGTTCTGCTCTATATTTATGTTTAGGAACCCCGGGTCATGTATTTTATTAGCCTAGGCACTGTATCGTTAGATTGTTTTACCCTCAACTTTAAGCTGTCATTAGCGCTGAATGTCGAACGTTGAACAAAGGTCTTCACTCCACATCGTTTGTAACATCAACCAATCCAATCCAATCCATCCACTCCATTCCATCCACCGTGACATCCATCCAATCTTATGATGACCTTGGAGCATCGTCCACCCGCGTGCATGTCGCGTGGCAGGGCGCAAACTTCAAGCCCACCGCTCCGCTGCGCTTGCTGGAAATCGATTTCTATATTTTATTTTTGAAACAACTTTTCTGCATCTTGCTTCATCTCTTACTCCATCTCACTTTCCCGGTATCTTAAATGTGCAAATCAAACTGTGTCATCATGAGGTAGTGCGATGCGTTGTCAACAAATGTCCATTTAAATCCGTGGATGATCCTGTGTGTCGAGGAAACCAAACTATTGCTCTCTGACGTGATTGTACCATCTCCGCGCAACTAAACTTCGTACATGCTTTGTTTCATCGCTATCATGTACACGCACAAAATATGTCCACTCACTCGCAAGTGACTGTACCCGCAATGCTCTGACCTGGGTGGGTACGGGTAGGCCTCTGAGAATTTTGGCATCCGCGGGTTGGGTGTGGCCCACCGTGTGGGTATAACCCGGGTCGATCGACCCATGTCAGCCCCACAGCGTACTGTGCACAAAGACTTGGATGCTATTTTGTCAGCAAAGGATAGACAACAATATTAATGCACAAAAAAAATCCGCTATAGTACTAGATGCAAACTCACAGAATTTCCTTTTACAAGAGGGGCCGCGCAGCGGCAAGCACTTGTAAACATCAATGACATCCAATATTCAATATCCAACAAAATATAGTCTCGCGCCATGATAGCCAGATATATAACAGGCTAGTTGAATTGGAAGAAATTCTGGAGGGGCTTTACAGATGAGTGGGGATTGTACATAAATACTCAGCTGTGGGTATGTAGAGTGCCCATGGTAAGATGCCGAAATACTTTTATGAAAGTCGTGGGTGCTTTTGGTTCTAGACCTTCGTGATTCTGACCTGATCGATTCCTCGCCCCTCGATCAAGGCGCCACACAACCTAGTAACCATACTATGCGCCAGAGCACACCCCGATGAATTATCGCGCCAGTGAGTTTTTTGTTAAATGCAAACAACTTATTATACTCACACAATGCGGCTTATCAGGACAGCAATCATGTACATGTTTGCAGAAAAATTTACATTGCTCACTGTCGGTGGCAGCATCAGTGGCAGATATTAAAGCGGCAGCAACAGCGAGGACAAAGGCGAAACGCATTGTTTGTGGAGATGTGATACTAGTAGTGTGGGCCCAGATAAGTGTAAGGAAAAGTAGAAGACAGCTTGCCTTTATGTGCTGCATAAGATTGATCTTGCAAAGGAATCTCTACCGGCAATTTGGCCTGGATGGCATGGAACGACGTATCATCCTGTAAAGCCAACTCGCACTGAGAAGCTACATAGGTTGACACGGTCATGAGGTGGTACTTACGAGTACTCAAACTACGGTCCGAAGTCCTGGAACTATGAAGAGGACAGCCCTGGCAGGTCACTAGTAATATCGGCCTTGGTTCAGTTGTGCATAAATTTGATGTTGTATTGACGATTTGATCAACGTGCTTGCTTATTATGTAAGCGCTTTGCGCACATACACCAATCACTGCGCGGCGGTTTCGCACGATCGCAAATCCTGTATAACCTATTTTGCAAGTACCTGGTGAACCGGTGACTACTTGTCGATCACCCTACTACAGCAACACGTTTATTGTCTTCATCTGGTGTTCGTCAGTGAGTGGACTCTGGAATTCACTCGCAATAGCCTTCAGGCTCATTACTGGTTCGCCCCCCCACTTCACAACCCTAAATAACACGGGATCAGGAGTATGCCATCTTTCATCACTTTCAAGTTGTAACGGAGTCGCATTTGAATTATGGTTAATAAGAGGAGTACGTGGCACTTGTTTATGAAACACCCCTTGTTGCACGAATGGATGAACTTTTAGGACGCTCCGTACTCGAGGACGCCAATGATCTCGATGCCACCGACCATACAATAGACCCATCTCCTGATATCGTTTGTGCGCGTGAGTTCGTATCTGGTGAAATTTCTTTGCTGGGAAATAATAACGTCTCAAAAGCATGCATTGTCTCATCAGCATCCAAAAATAATGGCACAGTGGCAACCTCTAGCCAACCACGTGTCCCAGACAACCTGACTGCTAGCCTGAGTTCGAGGCCGCCTCAGAAAAAATTGAAGCACAAGTCTGCAGCTCGCCGTCGCTCAAACACTGATTTGAGCACTTTCGTGAAACAGACAACCGTCAGCGGTCGTGCTACTCGAGCTTCGTTCGTCTCGGTGCCTAATACATCTCTTCGGTCTGCAACTAGTGTATCGCCTCGGATGTCATCACGGTTGGCAAAGAAGATCCATCCTTTTATTCTTACAAAAAGTCGAGACATCTATCCGTACTTAGCTTCCAAGGATTCCTTGGACTCGACCGAGTCATTGCGAGAGGAGCACGGTGGCACAGGGAGCTCAACACCGTCAGCATATACTCTCAAGAAAAAGATGGGCTCTCCGTGTAACATCAATCTTGCAGATGATGGTGCAAAGGCTGCGCTCATGGAGGAGTGGGCAAATCTTCGCATGTCTCAAGGAACACTGCTATCAAGTATGAATGCAAGTAAGGATACAACGACGCACCTCTCTAGTAATTGTGGAAGTCAGGAACCCTGCAACGAAGCGCAGATCCCGTCCGGTGAAGTGGCTGAACCCAACAATCCACACCCCATTCCAACCAATGACCACATAGAACATCCTTCCTGCTCCATGTCTAACCAAGTGCTTGAGCCACTCCCAGACTCGGATGCCCCTGCTACAAATGAGTTACTATTCACTCCCCCGCTCCCGCTGGGTGAGGAATTTACTCCACATAATAGTTTGTCAGATTGTGACTTAAGGTATCCGAGCTCGTCACCGGAGAATGTTCATGCAGCGATTGACGGTATGGCTCCATCGCAGTATGTTAATGAGGGGACAACGGAAACAATAGCCCAGGCTCCACATACCCCTGTCATCGATTCTCTAGAGGTTGTGGACCAGCCCCTCCAACTACTTGCTACCGACAGTAAAACGGTGACGTTGGATCCCCCAAGTAGTCCTATACTCTCAAAGCTTGATATCCTCCCCGAGACCACGATTTTGGCTGGACCTGCGGCCTCTGTCAAACCTGCAGAATCCTCGGGTAGAGCTTCTCCCGTCGATATTCAACTTGTTGTCTCACCTCAAGCCGATATCGATGATATTGTTTTGGGTTTTCATATGCTGGACCTGCATGAGGTGCTTTCTCCATGGGTGCCAATGTCTCCCGCAGCACCATCTGTTTACGTCCCACCTGCTGTGCAGCACTTAATCGCTGGTACTTACCTCAGTTGCATTGCTTTTGACCTGAACTAACTGTTTTCGTCGACTAGCCATGAACCGTCAACTAGAAATCGAATGCCAGGCCCGAAAACGAGCTGAAGAGCTTTATCTAGATGAAATGCGCCTGCGCATTAAGATGGAAGAAGTGGTTGATAGATTACAGAGGGAACGGGGACAGACACGGGAGCAAGGTGCATCTCCATCTCAACAACCTCCCTCATTACATGCTTCACCGCGTGCGTCGAAGACGCACGCGAGCCCAGAAGAAGTTGGGCAGTGGGATGGTGAAGCCAAACCAACATCCACTGATACCACTTATCCGGATGTTACGACAAAAGATTCTTGTGCCTGAGACACCGAGTCATCTCGCTTTCGATTTGATTCTACTGCTGTATCTCTGCTTTGTCGCAACCTATACGAACTGAACAATGGATACCGCAACGTTCTGGGTGATCTTTCATACGGATTTAAAGTTTCCATTAGTAGGATCTTAGTCGCATTGAACCTGCATACCACTTATCCCCAAATAACAGTTCAGATACATGATTGATAAAATACAGTTTCGTCGATCATAAAATAAAAAGGGAGCATTCTAGAGAACAATTGATTCACTTCAATGGCAAAGAAATCTGCAAGACCGTAACTGCGGTATCAGCGTGTGTGCATTGAGAAAAATATTGCTGTTAAAAAGAAATAGGGATTTTGGATTCGAGTCCAGACGGAGGTGCATGCGAATACTATCATATGGAAATGAGGCATAATCAAAGACTTTTGAAAGATGAGATCTTGATGATTGTGGTTGTAGGGGCTGATGCGTCATCTAGTGCCACAGCTCGCCCACTTGAGAGTCTATCATGACAGAAGGGATATCACGAAGGGCATCGTAGTCGCCTAAACCTGCTGCACCGTTGGCTATTGCCAGACTAAGAGCCGCAATGGCCTTTTCAGTCCGCGAGGCAGAGGAGTTCAGAGACACATCTTCTTGGCTGGATGCAAAGGATGCGGCGGTGGGATGAGACGATAGAAAGATCGAATTTTGCATAGGACTGGAACGTGGTGCCTCAAAGGAACGAGCTGGAGAGCTGAATGAAGGGCCAGATAGAGGTGGACTAAATGCCGTGGTATAAGCAGAATATTTATATGCTGGAGATGATGATGTTGAATGCAATGCGTCAGGGGAAAATGTGCTGTTAAAGGAGCGGCGGGAAAGATTGTCTGCATCGTCGTTGGAGGACGAAGAACGGGTGGATGCTTGATCCACATATTCTAATAAAGGACTAGACTCCATCTCGTCATCGTCCATGTCCACGGGCCCAAGGCTTGATGCTCGCTTTTGACGGGAGATGGGGAGACCGCAAAGCTCTCCCGAGTATATTTGGATATCATCCTCGTCACTATCAGAACTGTTAGACCTCCTGACAGATCTGGTCACGGGGACACTAGGGGAATGCCGCTTCTTGGTTCTTTGTCTGTCGACGGTTCTAGCGCGCTTGTATATACCCGATTTTGAACGGGAATGCTCAAAATCACGCATCCGTTTTACAAGGCCTTCCCCGCTTACGGCAATACTTCTGCGGAGTTCCCAAAATGCATCTGACCTGAGGCGAGTAGCGTCAGCCTCGGAAATATCAGAATGCGAGTCCCGGATGCCGACAAGGTTTGTGGAGCTTGACTTCTCAGATACGGTTTCTCTAGGACTCGAGCGTCCAGGGAACAGGAGAAAATCTTCTGGGGTAGTAGCGAATAGTGGTGTGTGGGGAGCAGAAGAACTGAGTCCGGAACTGTGGCTATCCGTCGACGCCGGGGTAGACGACCCAGTGGTATATGTCAAGGAAGGGGGCTGAAAACACACAAGATAGTTAGTGACCCTAGGATAGACGCTCAGAGAGATGTCATCGGCACGCACGGATATATCTCTGCGGAGTCTCTTGCCCGTCCGCCAGAAGTCGAAATTACGTGTTTGGGGGGATGCGGAATCTGGAAGAGCAGGACTATTGCATGATGAGCGAGCTCGTTTGCTTGCTGGACGCCATAGAACTTTTGGAACGGGCGAGGGCGAGGGCGAAGAAGCTGAGAGAGATCGTCGATGATAATTAAATGTTGACGGAGACGACATGAACCCTGAAGGTATGAAAGATTGGATGGGACTTCTTCGTCGATGCTGGCGGTGATGAGGCCCGAATAAACAATGGAAGGTGGTAGTGGTGGTAGAATGGCAAAAGACTCCTTGACGTTCCGCGTCGGTTCAATCAAATGACATATCAGCTTATATAACGTGTGTAGCCAAACCCTTAGTTTAGCCATCTCCAAGAATTGAATTCGAATACATCCAAACATCACCGTCTTACCTGCAGGTACCATCCTTCTCATTTCAAATAAGTAAGTACATTGTACCAGCTGGTCAGATACGAGATGTGGCGTTACAACTCCGTTGTGCATTGACAGGTGACTTGGACATCCGCGTCAGGGATGGAAAAATACGTTCTCCCTCGGTTCAGTGGATTATCAGCCCGCTGCATGCTATCAATTTCGACCAATGAAGTTGAAAGAATGAAGCCGGTATACTGCGCATCAATCTTAACATTCATAGATAATTCTTCCATGTTGTTCATTCGCTTCAACGACCTCAGGCTCCCAGAATTTGAAATACCCCAGATACCTACCTTCCTCGAAGGTGCCTCATGTTGGGCGCTTACCTTTGCCCTAGAAAGAACTTACGATCACCAGGAACAACAGCACTGTATGCATCGAAATGTGGGCGGCATCTGAGAAGGCGTGGATTCGTTACCATATGCGTTCAATATATGTGAGCGGTCTTAGCAGTCCAGGTCAGGGTGACGTAGCGGTCATGCGTGCCCTTCAGGTACCTGCCAAAATATTCGGTAACACCCGTGAAACCTGGCCAGGGAACCCCTGTCCAACGTTGCAACAAAGACAATGACACGCATCTTCATTACAACCTTATTCTCGGCGCGGCTCACCTGGCGGCAATAACGGCGGAGATTGGTTTATATTCGCAAGTGCGCTCCAGGTGCATCGAGACTGCTATCAAACAATGCTCATCGAGTGAGAATGGCTCTTACTGCGGCGGGATCCAGGCCTAGAACTTTGGCCCAGCTCTAACTCGCTAATGCTGCGGTGTTAGGAAACCATTCTCTGATAAAGTCTGAATAACTGACCACGAAGTACACAGACAAGTTGAAACAGACCGTCGATGCGACATGGTATTATATCAATTGCCGGCGTAGCCTGAACCTATGTTATATGACATGGCTCAAGGAGGGAAAGTCGAAATCTCACTTGACGCAACTCCCCTGTGTCCGACGTTCGTGCAATCTATTTTTATTGATTAGCTTTGCTTCTACGTCAGGTCCAAGATCCTACCTGGTCTATTAAATCTGTCGCAGGCTTTGAAATTCTCTTCTTCAGCCACGACGAGTAGTCATCCAAGTTGGGACAGTCATCTGAACTTTGAATCCGCTGCAGCGCCGATTGGAGATGCGACGTCCACGGAGAAGACTGCATCACCATCACTAAAGGTTGCAATTATCGATGAGGGATTTTAGGGTAGTATATTGAGGTTTGTGCGCACCAGCATGTTCGTCTGCATGCTTCAGGAGCTGGGAGAGAGCATCGCATATCGTCGGATTGACAACAAGCGCAAGAGGACTTTCGTCTCCCAAGTAGTCTTGCGACCCGACCATGAGGAGAACATTTCTTAGGTAGTCCCAGGCCTCTACTTGGGTAAGTGACTCGGGCAGTCGGCGAGATAATATTATATGCAAAGCAAATGCAGCTACACAGCAGATGTGAGAACCTCGCGATCCATTCTCAATTTGACGCTCACAAGCCATAGCTAATTCGGGTGTGGTATTGTCCATGGCGACTTGCCAGATGCTTTCGGCATCAGACAGCAAAGGAGCATCGCAGACCCTAATTCCCGGTTGTCCGCGCTGGAATGCCGTTAAACACAAGAGGAAACTCGCGGACAAGTTCGGCAGTTCCTTTTTTGCGGATTCACGACGTAAATATTCCATCGTAGCTTCGAGGAACTCAATTATCAACTTCTGGTTCGAAATCTGGACATTCGAAAAACATTCGATCGTCAAAAAGTCGAGAAATTGTTTCGCTTTGCGAATATGATTCCTGTCAGGCTTGTCCCCGAGCAGCTGTCTATGGAATTTGAGTGAGCCACAAATATTACACTCGATGGAAAGCTTACATCCGAGTATTGGACATGCCTGTTGCAAACATATTATTATTTGACAATTTACAAAATGTAAACCTACTTTTCTCTAGCTCATCATAGAACGTTGAAGATTCCTGTATCGCCTGCTTCCAACCGTCCCTCAAACTTCTGGGCTGCATCCTAGCCATGGCGTGTGTAACGTAGTCGCTAGCTGACGTCGATCACAAGGCTGAGCAACAGCTTTAACGCAGGAAGAGTTCGACTCGCCATCGTGTCCGTTTTCAATGCACGAAAGATAAACGAAGAGAAGAGTAAGGTATCTGCAGCAATCGCTAGACTTGCGAATGCCTAACAAATCTGAATCGCTCCAATGGACGAAATATCGACATGTCTTTAGTAGAACATCTGTTTGGGCTGTGGTGAGATTTCGAGGACGTGGAGCTGAAGAAAGATACACTAAAAGCCGAGAAAAATAGGTCTACAGCCAAAGCAATTAGAACATTAGACAGCCATCCAGCATAACACTCACAAGATATGCACAGATCATATATTTACCATGTTCGTCGCCAGTAAAGATCGACAGTGCAGATATAGTAGTCTGAGGATCTGAGTCGAAAGCGCAATGAAGCCATGTAGTTGTCTACTCTCATCAATCGAAGTCCTTTGGAGAAGAAGATGGAGTCCTAACCAGAAAGATGATGATTTCCGAATCAGACCCGTTACATTCCGCGAGTAGTCGCCAGGTCCAAGGTACAAAATGCCTCCATAAAATGAGAACGACCTGCGGGGCATCGAGGTCTGGGCAAGGCGATACGATAGTTTGCACCGAAAGCTTGTTGTCGACAAGCATTACAAAACGTAACAGTCTCATCACTGTCGCTAGCGTGTAAGGTCGAAATGGAACGTCTGTTTCTGGATCTTTTGCACTTATCGTAAAGTCCACGAGCTGTGATTCATTAATTGTCATCGTTTCTGGCTGGAGAATTAGGAATACGAACAGCGAATAGTGAGAGCAGCATCGCACAATTCATGCGCTCCTGAAATGCAGATTGGTGTTGCGCGTGTAGTGGGGAGCACTCTGAGAGTTGCACCACAGTGTGTTGCATAAAGTCTGTGAGATAGGGAAGTAGCGACACCATACTGTTGATACAATCAGGTCTGGCAATGTTAGAACAGCCAGATGAACACTTACCTGTCATCCAGTGGTACGTCAGCAGCCCTTGGATGAAGAGTCAACTGGGGTTGCAATACATATCGCGAGACCAACAAGCGAAGGGCCAAGCGCTTTGCGGCAGGTGAAGCCTTTTCAGATGTCAGTATCGACGGGACAGAATCCCACCTATCTGAAGCAACATAAACAAGCCTGACATCTAACAAAATCGCTGACTACCTGGGAGCTGAGCCGCAGCCCGTAGATTATCTTCCTCTCTTCGTTTCCTCAAAGCTTCAGGAAGCTTATCGTCGAAGTAGCGATCATGCATAGCGCTCGCGACAAATGAAACCACGTCTCCGAGTCTTGCAAGGACAGCGTCCACCCAGGATATGATGATGGGAACGACTGCGACTTTGTTAAGCTCCTGGACGGCTAGAGCATGGAATAGGCGCCGGTACTGGAACAGCAGATTTAAAAAGGACGGTCGCACTGAAGAATAGGCACCTCATGAGCGGAGCCAAATGATAGACAGGACATCACCTACGTAGGCAAGCGAGGGATTGCATCATGCAGCGTACATCATGGGCGGAGGTTGGACTCATCGCAAGCACGACATGCAAGAACTCTAGAAGTGAGGCCGATGACTCCTGAACGGTTCCATGTAAAGACGCGTCCTGTGCCCGTTTGAGTACGATTGTTAGTATTCGTTGATTTCGAAAGCGATACTACCTTGCGAATGAGACTGAAATCCAAGGACTCTAATGTCTTGATGGCCGAATTCACGGCGCTGATGGGATCTGAGGAGTGGGTTTGAGGCGTGTTCACTAGCTGAGCGATACTGTCGCTCAGCGTACTAGTGATGGAAACATCGGTGGGGTCTGATGGGCATGCTTTCTTAGGTGATGAAAAAGCGTCGGACTCTGGCTCAGTTTCACTATCGGACATGGGAATACAAGATGGAAGTAAACCGTGGTCGTCGCTCTTGTATTATATTTTCCCTGCGTGACACAGAATAAAGTTGCATCGAAGTCAGAAGCAGCACCGCGATCTTCGATAACCATGGTTTCATAAATTTTATCTATAGTCCTTTAATGCCCTTTAGAAAAGCAGTAATATCAGACTTGCATTCTAAATGCTCTTCATTTTGCGAAAACACAGCTTCAAATGCTTCGTGTCCTTCAGCAGTCTACATCAAGTAATCAGCATCCACCAAAAAAGAAAAGAGAATATAATACTTCTCCGTCACAAAAGTCTAGGTTTTCCCAGACCTCCTCTTCTTCAGCTCGGATAGCAAGCAGCATTTCACGTCGCACGGCAGATAGACCACCTTGCAGATTACCCTTGTCATCCGCAACTTTTCGCGCAGACACTTGAACCTCTTTCACTTCAAGCGGTTTTCTTTCTTTCTTTGCTGCAGTCTGTACAGGTGGTGGTTCATCAGGATCAGGCGGAGGACCATCATCAGAATCCTCATCAGATCCAGCATCACCTCTCGAACGACGACTCTTTCGAGACATGACATCCAAGTAAGTCAGCGTCGGTCGAAATTGATGGGTTTCGTTGATGGGTTGCAGATGTAATTGACCTTCGTGCACAAGATAAGACTACGCGGTATCGCCATAAATTGGAACAGACCATTGCGAACAACTCCCAACATATACGCGCCCTCTTGCGGTATTAGTTCGCTCCGCATGCGCACTTCGATCAACCGCGGCTCCTCTCCTTCCATCTGCTTCATCTTCCCAGTATCCTGGTTTTTTTCGCAGTCGTCCTCTTGTCGAGCAGCACCGAGTGATTTGCTCCGTTCGCCATTCCACACCTCTGGGCGCGGATCCACTGGCACATGGATCTCTAATCTCCGCGTGATTGGCTTGATTCGTGCGCGAATTCGTTTTCCACTGACTGCAGCAGCAGGTGGTGTTTGTAATGGACGAGAAAGAAGCGGAAATTGGTGGATGTGCAAGTTCGGACTGAGACTGTTTGAATAGTGGATAGGCAGCACGCTGATGAGCTCGTCATCGTCCATCGCGAACCTCGAGCGCTTGAGTTTTGATAGACTGATCGTGGGAGTTTGAAATATTTACAGTTATTTGCAAAAACGTTGTCAGTACGCGTGATTTGAGAGAATAAGGAAATTACATAAAGAAAGCCACAACCGCGCCTGGACCAGCTTCGCGAATCAAATCTGCAACACCATCTCTGGTGTATCTGTATCTTCGCATTATCCATGACAAGCACGCTCAATTTTCCTGGATATGTGAAGCCAACACATTCCACAATCTGTCCGATAGTGAGCAAATTGTGTTCGAAAAGATTTACAGCGGCAAGCTTAAGGTCATGGCTGATTTTACGGTAGGGCATGGTATTATGGTAGTGCGTTGAGCCAGACCCAGGCGCTGTTGTGGCGATTTTTTTTCTTATTCTCTCAAATCACGCGTACTGACAACGTTTTGCAAATAGCTGTAATACTTAGTGGGAACGGTTACAACAAACATTTACTAGTCACTACTGCCGATGCGACTTCATCGGCTCAGCTCAGTGGTAATGCAAGTGAATTGGGGATGCAATGTCTATGTTACAATATGGCTAGCTTGTAATGAACGTTGAGCGCTCAGCTTCCGGATCCGGACGTAGTGGTAAACTAGGTAAACTCTCACGATACCGTTGCTCCCCAAAAACCCTTTCCGTGAGTTTCGTATCGCTTCTATCACACGATGAAACATCGTCGGGGAAATAATCGACTTCGGGCGTGGGTGGATGAGGGGGTAAAATGGTGTTAGGGCGGGTTTCGACTTGGTGGGGAGGGAACGCGTTGGGATGGGGATCTCCCCGCGGGGAACGGGAGGGGTCGCGTAGAGCTTCGGCATCGTGCCGACGGCTCATTGGATAGCGCCGGGTGCGCACTTGGAATGAGCGTGCAACTGATGATCTAGGAGATCTTACCCTCCCCTCCGCTGAAATATCTGCGGTACTGCAGTCTGCACGAAAACTGCGATGCCAGACGTTCGGCTGCTGTAATAGAGCTTCGTTGTCGTGGCGGCGGATGACGCGACCAAAACTGTGCATCACAAGACACGAAATCAGGGCCCCTGCATCGATGTGAGTTTCCAAAACACTGGATGTGGGCTTAGTGGAGCCAACTCACAGTCAAAGGTCATCCAAGCCACATGATCGGCTGGGCCCGTGCTGTTAACACCGACTATAGTCATTATGACTGAAGCGGCGGTGGAAGCGGCGATAAAGGTGGTGTAAAATAACTGAATGAGCACGTAAGGCTGGAACGCATTAACCAAGAAGAGCTGCTTACTTCATCCCTCATTACTTCTTTAAACAGCGCTACTCGAGGCATATATCGACTTATGCGACTTATGGACGAGATGGCAGGAGAAGATGACCGGCGAGGAATTGGGGCATCATTGCGAGTATTTGGAATTGTGGTGGACACGCGGATTGTGGATGTGCGAGTGGGTTCTGTAGGCAGTGGTGGGATGGGCGGTCTAGAGGGCACATTCTCCAGATCACGCACTCTTTCGCGGGTACGAAACTTGGGAAGACGGCTCAAGGGAATGCTCCGGTCATGGGAGAGAGACCGAGTTCTACGGGATCTGGGGTGAAATGGGGCAGGATGATCTACAGTAGGAACATAATCCCACCAGCCACGGCGACTCTGAGTGGTCTTGTGACTCTCGATGCTCTCTTTTCTGGTGTCTAGATGGGGATCTGCGACATTGTCAAGAGAGAGTGATACGGTAATTCTGCCCTGGACGGCGGTGGAACCACGTGATTTCCAGACAGCATAGAGAACTGTGATGATGAGTCTCGTTGGGGTAAAGTAATAAGTTTGGACTCACAGCAAAGACAGATGAACAGCGATTCGACAAATAAAAGTATTATGAAAGCATATGAGATGGAATTAGAAGGTCTATAGCAGCGGCCTGTTGTTTAAATTTAGTAGATGAAAGTGGGGATAAGGAGAGATAGAAGAGGCACCTGCAAGACTGCGATAGCTGCTAAGTGATGCCAGATCAAGAGCGAGGAGAACGATTGCAGCGGTCCTTAGTGCGACCAAGACTACTAGAACTAAGCGAGAGTTGTCTAGACATCGGTAAGCCTTTACGCCTAGAATACCGGACATCTATGTTGTGTAGAGGTTAGGTGATAATGGATGATAAATATGAATTTTAGAGCGTACCAACAAAGAGAAGGATATTCCTGCAGTAGCGACTGCAATGCGCATCACGCTGATTACATAATAAAGTCAACGATGGTGTTAACAATTGAAAGATAGAATTGACCGACATTTTGCAATCGAACTTGGGGTGAAATTGTGCGATAAGCAAGGACAAGATGGCGACAGGTGCGAGAAGTTGACTGAGGAATAGAGTGTATAGGAGACTCTTCTTGCGAACTCTGCCTGACCATAAGAAAGTAGCTGATAGAGTTATATTCCTTGCGAATATGGTGAAGATGGATCCCATGATGACGAGAGCGAGGTAAGTAGCTGCAAGGTCATCGAAGAATGATGGTGCCAGGATGGAGCCATCTGCGAGTAAATGGTAAACGGACTGAGAAGATGAATTAGATGGTAGACTTGAAGGATCTGCTAGTGTTATTGTGAAGATTGTATGGGTTTGGGAAGGGCGACTGTCCATAGTACTTGAAATTGTACATGAGGGGAGGGATAACACCTCTAAAGTTTGCTATAGGACGCGACTTCTCGAAAAGTGTAGATTGCCTTGATGACGGTCGTCCGCTCAAAATGCAAATATGACAGCATTTATACCCGATCATCGCACGTATACATAGTAACATCCTTACATAATTCAATCTTCACATTATGCCACAACGTTACCCCGTTATCATCATCACTGGAACTCCAGGTACTGGAAAGTCAACCCATGCTCAACTCCTACAAGACGCTTCCCCAGTCCCTCTAAAACACATCAACGTCGGTCAACTAGTAAAAGATAATTCTTTTCATCACGGCTTTGATCAACAATGGCAATCTTATACTGTAGATGAAGACAAGGTCCGCGGACATTCAACATCATCCACTTCCCCCATTCTCATTGGTTCAATTTAGCTCTTAGATGAACTCGAACCATTGGCATCAGCTGGTGGAATAATTCTCGACTGGCACACTTGTGAAATATTCCCTGAGCGATGGGCAGATCTAGTCGTCGTTCTACGCTGCAATCATACCATGCTCTGGGAACGTCTCGAAAAACGGTGCGTATTCCTGACCACAACCAAAATCAACCCAGATCTGACCCATAGCAGTAATTATCCTCTCAAAAAGATACAGGAAAACAACGAAGCGGAGATAATGGAAGTCGTCCTCCAAGAAGCCCGAGACTCCTACCCCCAACAGATTATCGTCGATCTCAAAAGCGAATCTTCTCAAGACCTCGAAAATAACGTCACGAGCATCGTTGAATGGATAAATCAGTGGTTGAAAGATAACGGTCAGGAAGACGAAGACAACACTCTTTGAGGCAGCAGTCGATAGCATCGGTACCGCACGCCCTTTATAAATAAGATATACGTTATAGAGACTAACCTTGCGTAGCCTTTATTAGTTTATCTGACAGAATAACATAAATCAAGGGCCTTACACATTAATGACGCGTGACGTTACCCACCTGAGCTCAGACCTCCTCATGTATACGTGAAGCAACGTACTGCGGTCTATACGGAACTGAACTAATGAAAGCACTCGGTCCGTGCACTCATGAGGTTCTCCTAGGAGTTATGCATCATGTTTGATCTCTACACTGTATCATACATAATAAGACAATTCTCCCGTACCTATGGTATCACGCCTATTTGCAAAAGCGTATGTCCGAGGAAAGTGTTTGCAGGTGATACCCCTGGGATAGAGCGATAAATAGCTCCGAAAAGAAGCGAAGAAACTAGGACGCGTACTATAGACGGCATTCTAAATCTGATGAAGTTGGAGGACCGGGACGATATCGCTACATGCACCGGTGGACAGTTCAGGCAAAAATATCACATTCACGTCCCGCAGCATCACAGCTGACTGTAGACAGGTGGACGATACCAGATTCATCTCAGTGACGGACACAAGCAAGTCACCAAGAGGACACTGCGGGCCCGCAGTCGAGTTCGATGATTCCGTGCGCGAACTGGATGTGGACGCGAGCGGGAATGTATATCCCTGTCCTTTGCCGTCGCGTTCGTCGTGAAATGTATGGTGTTGTACTGCGGCCCAAATTATCATCCATCCGCCATAGTTTTGCAGCACGCGGAAATCCTGATCACTGTGCTGTAACAGCTCCTGCTTCCTGAGCTCTCGATAAGTGTAAGGCACGCAACTCGCTTGCTGATCAACACACCTTTCAGTATGAGTCACACATACCGAGGCCCTCATAAGGTCAGCGCTGTTCGTGCGCCGAATAAGGGCGCAAAAACATATCGATTACGCTCCAGGTAGGGAAAAGTCAGAAGAGTGGGGAATGGTCGCGTTGGCACGATAAATTGGAGGCCCATCTAAAGGATGCGCCTATGGATGTGTTGTACTACGTCTGAAACAATTCGGTGAAATGACCAGGTAATAGATAAAGTAAATAGTCAGTGGTGTGTCACTCGATGTTCTGAAGTGGAAGAGTGACGAGACGATCCAAAGCAATCTGAACTCTGCCTTTATTCTGAAGCTATGAGAGTAGATTCGAATGCTGAGTCGTGGGAAAACCTTGTGGATCACTGCGGTCGCCATCATGATACTTACAGGTCAGACTTCCGACTCCCCTGGCATGACAGGTGACTAGGAATTATCCAGGTAGGTGAGGCTGAACAGAGAATCTCGACCTCGCTAATTACAACCACCTCCATGGCGCGTAGCAGGTCATGTCCAGCGATCTTGAACTGCAAATTTCTACCCTTCGCAAGTCGCGATGGGTCAACCTCTCTGGGCTCGTCGATTGTGCTACGAAACGTCTTTCGAAACCCACCTGCCAATCAATCCAACTTCTTGGAAGGGGCAGCTACAATACCGTCTACAAAATGGTCTTCGGTGATGGCACCGAGATCGCGGCAAGCGTGTCAGTGCATGATGACGAGGACTTTAATCCCCAGGCAAAACTGTCTGAGATAGCCACCATGCAGTTTGTTCGCGCATCCGACTCGTATCCAGGTATCCAAGTCCCACAAGTCCACGCTTGGGACGTTACATTTTCTAATCCAGCTGGTGCACCGTATGTTCTCATGGATGTCGTCCACGGACGAAAGCTGGACAATTTCACCAACAATGACAACAAGCTTTGCGGTCTGGATGGTATGTCAGAAGTGCAGCAACTAGCCGTCACCAAATCTCTGGCAAAGCTACAATCTACTTTGTCAGCACCTGTACCATTTGACAAGATCGGTAGCATTACCCTCAATGACGAAGGAAGCTTTATCATAGGACCACTCTTCACTATCACACAGCAGAATCTCGGGGGACCATATCAATCCCTCGTGGATCTCTGGAGGGCCCGACTGGAGCATGACATCTTGCATGCTCTAAGGGAGTGGTCTAGACTCGAGGCGGAGCAGCTTTCTCGATCCCTCTCAGAACCCAAATGCACCCCTCATTTTTTTTCTGAACTATTACAACTTCTCTCCTCGCTCATACCTCACTTCGTACCTCCATCGTCTTACCTCCCCTTGGTCTTACACCATCCTGACCTCGCACTTCGCAACATTTTTTTTGATCCAATTGACGACACGAAGATTGTAGGGCTCATAGATTGGGGAGGTGCACAGATTCTCCCTCTTGTACTCACTGCCAAGTTCCCAGATGACTTGAATTCGACCGGAGAGGATCCTTGCGAGAGACCGGGGATCCCCGATGAGGGTTGGAACGCTGTCCCACATGACTGGACTTCGTTCGGTGACACTTCCAAGTGGCCGGATGTCTTCCGGGGACCAAACGATCAAGTGGATCTGACCATCCGAGCGAGTGCCATGATCAAGCGGTACTACCTCCGCCAGCACTTTGGTGTATGTTTTGCGCAGGAGAACCATGATAGATATAGCGACTACAATCTTGGTCGCGCGATGTTGTTCGCGCATGCACCATATTATCTCAAGTTCCATGAGATTATCACGAGCGGCTGGACCTCTTTGGTCGATCATGCCGAGTGGATACGTGAGACATATTGGCGATTAAATGCGGTAAAACAGGATCGTCGGAGCGCTGGGATAATTATAGGTCCAAACGTCTACCGCAGCTCCATGCAGAAGTCAGTGTTCGACTTGAACATCTTCGAGACACAGTCCTCCGAAGATGTCCAAGATGGGGAAGAAGAAGAGGACATGGATGAATAATTATTGTAGACAGTACGTGGCAAAACTCTGTACAACACGCAAATATCATACACTTCAAACTGATCAATTTGGTCTTAGCATTCTTCGTATCGCAATATCACTTCACCATTTTTATTCTAATGGTGTTAGCTGCGACATTTGCGACGAAGTTGGAGCACCCCACCTAGGCCTTGATAGCTTCGATCATCTTGTCGATGATAGTCTTGGTAGTCTCATCCCAAGTAGATGACTCGTATGTCACATACGCCTCTGTCCTCCCCTTCCGCGCGACGATTGTGATATACTTTGGAGGTTTTCCACTTGTAAGCATCGACTTCGTCTGGAACGTGATGTCCGTTTTGGACTGCGACTTTCCGTCACCATGCCAAGCAGTGTACTTCCCATTTCCATGCGTCTTTTCGACTTTCTCCGGGTCTATGTTCTCCAGATACTGTTTCACTTGCTTGAGATCGTTCTTGGATGCTTTTTCCTGTAGGTATCTGCTAAGTAAAGGAGGCCGAGGAATGCATTGGTATGGGAAAACCTACGTTGACGTGGGCAGACATGATGTTGGATGAGCACTTCTGATCTGTATCTCTGGCAACCTAAAGACGTACTTATATAGGTCAGGTTGGGTGGGTTGCGCCGAGCGCTCATGGGACAGTGCCTTCCCCGCAGCATGAGCGGTCTCAAAGCTAAAATAGGTTCATACGATGTGCTATCATTCTGGCACAGGTTATAGTGACATCAGAGTATATTTGCTCATCAGGATAAAGGCATGATATATCCCTGCCTTTGATCTCTGGAGGAAAAAGGATATATCATTGTGAGTTGCGCATTTAATGAGTGGGCTGTTGAGTCTCAGCTGGCTGGCAGATCCTGTGTCAGGTATATTTCCAGCCAGATAATGCAAGCTTCCGACCTTCGCACTGATGGTAGTAGAGAAGCTTCTTGAAAAGCTATGCATCAGGCAAGGATCTGGTGCAAACCTCAACAATAAAAGTTCCTCTATCCCGGTCCAACAGAGACACGCAGAAGACAGTCAATCAATCAAGACACCGAGCACAAAGGGGTGGTGGGAGGTATAACAAAAGATGCCTGAGAGCGAGCTACTGGCAGCCTTTCTTGGATCCACGCCACGTATTGACAACACCGCCAGGGAAGTTGGCCCCGTTTTCTGGAATGCGGTTCTTGGTGGTGCAATGGTCTTCTACGCGAGGAGCTTGATGTTCGCTGGAAAGGCGACCCGTTGAAACGTTGAAGTTGGATTTCACGCAGCATGGAGCACGTATGACCCAAATTGTACACAAATTGTACAGCTTGGATTTCTCGATATGAGTCTACTGACTACTCGCGAAGCTTACAGATCCGTCAATTTGCGTGCGAGGGCGTCTGTCCGATTTTCACTGGGCAACGGCGATGCCGCTCTTCATTGGAATTGAGTTTGCAAAAGTCTTGACTCTCTCATAAACTCTAAATCTACAAGGGGGTAGTGCCAGCAGTGACTCAGCGGAGTCAGCTGGGGTTTCAAATTCGGGACCGTCAATTTGCTCGTGATCAGTGCTTCTTCGTCAACAGATAGTTTTGGCATTAGTGGTCCAAAAAAGCGGTATCATACAAACCAATTTCAATCGCCATAGTCTGGAAGGGGGCTGTACGTCACGGCGTGATGGATTGAACGTGCTGTGATTTAAAATGCACGTTCTGATAGCGGATCACGCAGTACCCGTTGGTTCCCATGTCTGCAGAGGGACCTGGATGATGGTCTCAAGCGTTTACTTATGTTGATTATCAATGTAGGGGAAAAATGATTAGCATACATTGTCATACTACAATGGATGATTTTAAGTGAAGTCATTATGTGTAACATTGAGCTACTAAGTTAGTGTATCATTAGAACCGACTTTCAGCTTCGGATACTCAAACACCATAGAAGAAACGCCAGTAACCTGGAAGTAGATGGGCGAGCGCGTACCACAGCTGGTATAGGTCCATTGTCAGCTTCATCTCGGTATGTTCCAAAGTAATATTTCGACTCACGCTATAAAATTTGCAGGACTGCTTATCGGCGCCCACCGTGTTGTACATCACGAATCGGATCCCCACAAATGCGCCGTAAACTACAAATGCAGTGGTAGAGAGCGCATCTAGCTTCCAGATACAGCTCAAGCCATATGACCAGAGGGGGATACCAAACATCATTGAAAAGCGCGCAGCTTTAGGGAAGATGGTGGGCAGCGTCCGTCTACCAGTAAGACGGTCACCCTCTTCATCCTTGAAGTCTTGCGCATGAAGCGTAGTCGCAAAGACTGTCGAGCTAAGTGTGACCGCCAAAGCACCAGCCTTATCGATGCATGAGTTATGGGGACCTGTACGCTTGATGAGCAAAATGATAGATTATCTGCAACTGGATAGATTTACCGGCAGCAACAGTTGCTCCGACCTCCAGGCACCCACCGAGGATGGCTGTGAGTACATTCTTCGACAATCCCATTTTATCACCGTGAAGTTCGTTGTACCAGATTGTCAACGCTGCAAAAACGGTGCTGGCTAGTAGAGCCTGGGTGCCGTGCCACAACGATAGCAATAAGCAGACTGGAATCATCACCCAGCGCATATCAGCTGCGCTGTCAACAGAAATGCGACCAGCAGGTATTGGACGTGAGGGCTTGTTCTTGCGGTCCTCCTCCGGATCCTGGATCTGATTTGCAATATTGAACTGTAATAAGTGGAACCATATCCACAAAGGAGCATGCCAAGCATGGGTGGTGTCATATCTGGGAGCCACAGATAATGCGAATATGGTCTGAGAAGTGTGATTGAACAAAGGGGCAAGACACATAACAGTTGATACATACGACAGGAATCAGAGTGGTTCTGACATCATTTTTTGTAAAAAGGAAGACCGTCTCGAGCTGACGAGCGATGCTATCAACGCGAACAGTGAGAGCTTGAGAGAACATTGTGAGTTTTTGAATGCCCAGGTTGTGTGCTGGGTCCAGACCTTTATACCTCGAATGTGCGCTTGAAAGAGACGCGAACTGTCGGCCAGTATGGCAAAAGTCATGCCGGGAGCACACAATGAATTCGAAGGCTATATGGCGGGGTTTCGAGACACCAAACCGGTTGTGAATTACTGGTCGCGAAGACGCCTGAGGCTATGAAATCGAAACTGCCCCGTCCTCTGGTAGGAAGGATATGTGACCAGCTGACTTGAAAGAGTTCTATGTAGAAGGCAAACTAGGCGCTGCGGCTATGCATTCGTGACAGCTGACTAGCGCTGACTGTCGGAGTACCCCTGAACCGTCATAGCCGTTGACCGCCCAGAGTCGACGGAAACCATCTTTCCGTACCACTGGTAGATAAGTGAAAGAATCTTGGAGCGCTCGCTGCCGAGTAGCGTTTGACCCGATGCTATCTTCAATGGTCAACGATTGGCATCATATCGTATTACTAATACACTCACTACGCCCATACTCCGCAGAGCTCGAAAGCCTGAGACCACAGCAAGTATCGGTTGAGCAAACACTCAAGAAATCACAGTGAACGATTCCCATTATGGTCATTAATAACGGAATGGCATTTGGCTTGGATTGCCTCTACTATAGGTGTGTGTTTACCGCGATCTAATTGTGGGCTTACAGTTGGGAGGGCGCTGGCTCGGCGACTTCGTGGCGTGATACTGTGAACAATTCAAATATCGAGCGTCGACAAAGATCAGCATAACTGCATCGTACTATGTAATTAATGAAAGCTGAATTATGGAAGATGACTTATAAGAGGATACGTACCATAGAATACTCTTGTCTGTGAAGAAATAATCCACCATAGGTTGTCGTCCGAGGTTTCCTATAGCTAGCACACAGTCAAAGTGGCCTTGACAAACTTGTATTAGAGTCTTGGTGATCAACCTGTCTACGAAGCGATATACGCAATCACAACGAGTTGATCTCCGGCCGAGTCAATCGACATATGATACAACGAAGAGACATGTACCACAAGGATTACAAGAATTCGCCGTGACTGGAAGCTTGAAAAACAACTGTGGTCCAATCCCTAAGCTCCCTTGTGAAATTTGCTGCCAAAATCTTCAGATTCATATCAGCAAGAACCTCGTACCTAGATGGAGTTGGGGCATGATGCACAACCAACTTCCTCACACCCCATCTAGGTAAAGCTGCAGATTTCGACGGTGTAATACTAAGTGTAGCGGGAACTTAGCAACAAAAGAATAGATCGAGTTATGAGTGAATGAACCCGGTTGGGGTCGGCCCGGCTGGGGCATAGATAGCTTCTGCCCAGACCAGGTAGCGCTACCCATTTCAATAGTGTAAGTCTGCCACCGCGAGTCCTGTCACAGTAGCGAGAACTTAACGAGTTCGGGAGGGAAAAGGGTACTAGATCGAGAGTGAAGAGCCAGTGAGTGGGATCAATTCGCTGCTGAAATGCAAGGTACAGACCGGTTTTTATATGTAGAAGGTTAAGTCATACTGAAGTAGAAAGAGAGTGGCTCAATGCCGCAGCCGCGATACCGTGACAAAGGGGAGTCCATCGTCAAAGGAGTATTAATGGCGCTCCTTACAAAGGTCCTGAGCAAAAACAAAGCACCAAGAAAGTGACAAGTAACTCCAAAAAGAGATGAAGAAACAATAGAACGGCTAGGACGCGTACCATGGGCGGTAGTCTTTGGATAACTGGGGACGACAAATGTAAATTTGTTGCATGGACGAGTTTTGAACAAAAACGACAACGGCATTGTCGGATTTTCCGCCTTGCAATGTCGCGGTCGAATGCAGACAGGTAGACGATAACAGATCTATCTCAGCCATGAATGTGTGTAACAAGTATAAGTAAGTGACCAAACTGTAGTTGAATAACAAACAACAACGTTGTGCAGACCCCAAGCTCATGAGGAAACCCATTTACAAACAAGGCGCATCATTAATCGTCGACTTGACGCATGGCGGCTGATAACGCAGCCAAGGAAGCTGACCCCCAGGCCAACTCATTAACTGTGAAGAGACCATTGTACGAGGGAAGCACGCAGTACAAGAGCTGGAGATACTCCCCAGAACAACTGGAGCAAATTCGCACTTCCCTCAATGTGGCTGCAGTATCGGTCATACGGAACACTTTCGAAGCAGATGAGGTGAGAAACCCACTTTCCGTCGTTTCAGTGCCTGTCGAATTAACTTATCCGTTATAGCCTGGATCATCCGAGGACGTGTTGTTCCTTAATGCAAATGAAGAGCAGCTCCTCGTAAAGCTCTACATCACCAAGATCCCTCAACTATGCGGGCATTTTCGTTTTCCTGAGGAAGTGGAGGCGACCGCCATCAGCTACTTGAAGCGGTTCTATCTTAAAAACACTGTGATGGACTGGCATCCAAAGAATGTGATGTGCGTTCGTCTGTTACACTGATATCCCTAATAACTCTATGCTCTTTGAAGGCTCACCACACTATTTCTTGCTACGAAAACCACCAACAACCCAATTTCGTTGGAATCTTACACCTCTAACATCCCGAAAACGTCCAGCTCAGACGTTCTTGATCTCGAGTTCCTGGTGTCTCAGAGCCTGAATTTTGAGTTTGCAGTTTGGCATGCCCACCGCGCTCTCTGGGGCATTTGGCTCGATCTTCAGGTAACCGCAATGTCTGTGACATCATTTCCGCGCTGAGACTAACACAACTACAGAGCCTGCCCGACGTATCCGAGGACCTTCGACCACAGGATGTCTATGATATTGCCATCAAACACGTCCGGGCCTCCCGCTTTACCGATGCAGAACTCATCTACACGCCCTCACAAATCGCTCTCGCTAGCCTGGCTCTCGCCTCGCCAGTTCTCGCAGAAAGATGGGCTGACTCGAAAGCGGTAGCTGGTGCTGCACAACCTTTTTCCGCAACCCTGGACCCTACTCTCGGATCGATCAAATATATCATCACGCAAATGGGACATCCTCCTGATGTGGAAGCCGTCCGCGAGGTTGATAGGAGGTTGAAGCTATGCAAGAATCCAGAGAAGGTCCCTGGTAGCAAGGCCTATCTTGCACGGCAAGTAGCTGAACAACAACGAGCAGAAGAGAAACGCAATAAAAAAGCTGAAGACGTAAGGAGAGCCGTCACTGAGGGTGGCAATCCATTCGGTAGCGAGCTTAATGAAGATGAAAAAGCAAAGCAGTTGGCTGAGCTCGACGACGACGATTAGGATAGAGCTGCTCAATATTCAATGACTATACGATCTTTATATTATAATGTGACCCTCGAGTAAATTAATACAAGCGTCATCTCAGATATCAAATGAATCGGAGAATGCAGAGAGGGATGTAACGATCACTTTTGGCTACACATTGACCCCCTCAGATCATGACCTCGGAAGGCTAACTGGGAGGCTTCGAAAGAGCCGGTACCAATATGTGCGAGACAACTGTATTTCCCTGTGCTGTTGTGAGATTTGTAATTATGGCATGGAGACAAACGAAGACCCACAATTTAAGAAGGAAACTGACTGAACAAAAATCGTGAATAAATGTTTCCATCACATCCGCGGTTATCAATCATACAGGGAGCGCAAACCGGCGATGGAGGTTATCGCAAACGGAAGCGAAAATGGCTTGGACTCAACAAAAGCTGGGTGCAGGCCGACCATATCACAGGTTTGCGCTGGATATCTTGGTGAATACACGGGTATCTTCTTGCATGTAAAGCTACAGATAGAGCAACTACCGTTCAAAAACCTGGAAAGTATTGAGACCATAAAAAAATTAAAACAAGTAAATACATACAACATTCGCAATCAAAAGGACACAACGGCGTGTCTGGAGTCGGGTGAATGTTGAATGTTGATGGAAGTAGGTGCACAACATACCTCCACCGGCATTGGATATACCTAGTTCATCTTCCTTGTATATGTTTAAACCATCGTCAGTTTTTCGTCCTGGCGCAGGGTTAACGAGTCTAAAGTAGCAGGACGAAAGGGAACTTACTAGGTCCAGAACCCCTCGAATCCTTGAAACGGTCTTCGTCATCTTTGCGCGTCTCGTGATAAACCTTTTCACGCTGTGAAGAAACTGGAGCATCCAACTTTGGACGTTTACTACTGCTGGAAGATTTGAATGATGGATCTACAACGGTCTCGGGAAGCGGCCGTTTTTTCAGTGTTTTTGGTTCTGAAGATCGACTGATCTCCTTCGTTTCATCGCTAGTGGTGGGTCTGTCTTTTCTTTTTTTCTTTTTCTCCTTCTTGACGGATGGAAGAGGAGCAAGCTCTATGGCTTTCGCCTTTCCTTTGGAAGCAAAAATGTCGTCTATTTCTGATGTGGGCATGGAGAAGGATTAAGGCTGAGAATGAAAAAATCTGAGCTATAAAATTATTGTGACTTGTCACATACGTCACGGATCATAATTATGCGAATGCCTCCGAGTTGATCAACATGTTCCGTTTTCTGGTACATAGATGCGGCCGATGTCATCATGATGCAACTATGAGCGAGAGCGTTAGGTAGTTGAAGGTTTAAAACTTAAATTAAATAAATGGGTGAGCTATATGAGAGATTTCTGTACTGCAGTCACACCCATGACTAATATTAACCGTGTTGACTTGAATTTCCTGATTTGTTGAATTCTGCTTTCCTTGCCCGGTTCGACCGCCAACAAGTATTACTATTAGTTCAAGCAGGTGAAAGTACTTCCGTCTAACTCCTGAGCTATGTTGTAAGCTTTCCATTTCCATTTTCCCGTTCTAAATCATCATTCCTCCTAACAGGCCCCAGTCTGCACAACAAATCAGACCTCAGCAAACCCACCAATCTCAGCAACAAGGAAATGTCCCATTCATCCCCCAGAATTCGCCTCAAAACTTCGAGACAAACCAGTACTTTACTAGTACCCTTGATCTTAATGCTGCTGCAAAGCAAATGGCAGCCATGAACGCCGCAGGAGTCCAAAGACAAATGGCAAATGTTAACGGCCGCTCGCCTGCGTCTGTTGGCGGAGTATCTCCGGGATCATATCTCGGTGGAATGACATCCTCTTATAATCAACCAGGCGGCTTTACTGGGCCACCTCACGATAATACGAATTCGATGCAATTCAATCCCACAGCCTCCTCAGGTCAATTAAATACCCAAGGTATTTACCCTGCCCAACAGACCACCAACGTCCCCCAAAATCCTTCTCTAAACGCACCCATGTCTCATCCAAACTTCACCGCATCCGAAGCTGTCAAGCACCGACAGCGAACTTTCCTTGCAGGATTGGCCAGCGCCCATGCTACCCGCGTTCCCTTACCACCAGCTTTAACTGGAAACCCATACCCACCCAATTATGACCCTACAAATTCGCAATGGAAGTCTTTGGACTGCCCACCAGGTCAGCCGGGTGTTATCCGCTTGGGCGGAAAGGACATTGATCTACTGAGGTTATGGCAAATTGTAACTCAAGTGGGAGGATGGCAAAAAGTTTGTTGATTCATGCTCTATCAGTTTCGAATGCTGAAACATGACAACGCAGATCACACAACAACAAAATGGCTGGGCACAAGTCGCTCACCAGTTCGACCTGCCAGAGTTCCTTCCTCATCTATCGAATTCTGGGCAGCAGCGCCCCGTTGGTCAAATTCTGGGACATTTATACGCTGCCATCTTACAGCCATTTGACGAGTTTTATCGACGTAATATGCAGGAGGGCAACCGTAGGGCAATGGCGGCTGGACGCCAGCCGGGCGTTAATGCTGGACCTCCCAACGTGAATGCAGGGCCTGGTGCACCTCATGTAGGATTGCAACAAGGAGCAGTTGCTCCGAACGCAGTCGGCAGCATGATGGCGCAACACGCGGTTAACAATCAAAATTCCACTATCAGCCCTGCCTCTCAGTCACAGCCATTACCACAAAGTCCTCATTTACGCCAATCTTCTGCACCCAATTTTCAATCACCCGCTGTTCCCTCAGACCCCACACCTCCGGCGTCATCCCAACTCAACGCTTCAATTTCTGCGCCCCAGCTTACAAAACCAACACCGGATACATCTGAACCAGAAACTCAAGGGGCGAAAAGAAGACTAGAGTCCGAAGAGGCAGAAGGGAAACGAGCAAGGCAAAAGACAGGTATTTCTCACAGATGTCATCTTGGTTACCCAGTGAATCTCATCCAAGTTGCTACAGATCCGCCAGATACCGTGAGTGATGACTGGTGAATCTTTATGCCCTCGAATTGATTTTTTCCCAGACCGAGACCACTAATACCACGACAACACATGGATCCGCTCCCCCCTCGCGTACGCAATTTACGAGGACAAAAGTCGAGTACATTCCCCTGTCACGTGAAATTGATTTCACTGGTGGCCGTGATTTCAACGCGCTGGAAGAGGATTATCTTCGGTCTCAACGGCGGCCCATGCGTGATATCAATGAGTGGGGCACAGTTGACATTGAATCCCTTACAATGTCCATCCGATCGCGACTGAATGCCGAGCTTTCCTATGCTCTAACCACAATCACGTTGTTATCTACGATGCGGGGTCCAACCCCTGGGTCTGGATTTCCCATTTCCCAATGCACAGATTTGCTCGAGGAGGTGCTAGATCTACTTGAGGAGGAAGCATTTGGGACCACCCCCGACATCACAGATTATCGGCTTGGCAATAGTGCAGAGATGGTGCGACATCGGGCGCTCGTAGATGATGTTTTCGAGAAGGAATCTATGCTCTTTGCAGGGCTAGAAAACCGTGATCCTCAGTATGAGACACGTGGTCCAGGCCACCGCGCAGGGAATATTGTGCTCACTGTGACTAACCTCATACGAAACCTTTCTGTCACCCCGGACAATATGCCCTGTCTGTCGAGACACGAACGCACACTCAATCTTGTGCTACGTGTTTGTGGTATTACCATGTCATCAGATGGGACACCCAAACCAGCTTCACCGGTACTTGCTCTTTCAGACGTGATCAATGTTCGAAAAGATGCACTCCATATTTTTGGTAATCTGTCGAATTACATCGTGTTCTCGAATCCTAACTCTCCATCGAACGCAACAACTCTCACTGCGAGCCGCATCCTTGAAATCATTGCGTCTATCCTCATAGAGCCCTTCGACTCAGTTCCCCCCACACAATTCCTCAAACAAAGTGGGGTTCCTTTCTCGCATAGTAGGCCATCATCTATTGCCGACCTTGCCCTCGACGTTTTCACCCGTCTCGGTCAGCTGGACTCTAATCGGCAGGTTTTCTCTAGGGTTATGCCCCAGTCTCTCATCTGGCGACTATTGGAGTCCCTCGTTCATCGTCTGCCAGTATCAGACCTCGACTTTGCTTTCCTCAACCGGGACCCATGGCTATCTTACTTGGAAAAATCAATTATGGCAATTTACACGATCGCATTCTTTTCTCCCCCGGAACTAAAGAAGAAGATCAAAACAGATCGCCCTCTGTGTTTCTCACAGGTTATGATTCGTATAGTGCAACGATTTGTATCAATGGGTGGGAGCCCAGAGGTGCGCCAGTGGCACCTTGCCGTTGCACGAAGAGCGGTAGAAGCCATGAAAGTGGTAGATGAAGAGGATGATGCTTTTGACATCTCGCAGTCCACTCAAACCCCACTGGCATTTGGCATGGGCTTTATCGATGGTAATGATCCCGGTATTGAAAAGGGTATAGGGTTGCTTGCTAGCCGTCGGGACGCTGCTTGGGAATTGTTGATGCGAGATCTGGATCCTGTGATGTTTTCAGAGCTGGAGAGTTTGATGAGAGTTGAATGTTAGCCTGTTGCTCGGCTCGCGGTACGATACTGTTGGTTGTATACTAACCCCTAGTGCTCTGCACATTTTGCTGTCGATACTATGTAATTCTGGATATCCATGTCAACTGTCGAATTTGTTGTCCTCCCAGACATTTGATCTGTAGAATTATTATTTTTTGACTTTCTGACTTATCTTGTCCGGGCTGTGCAATCTTTTACAAGCAGGCTAGGTTAGGCTCTAGCCGCTAGCAGCTTGACGGAATCTCACATCGTTATATACCATCACTCTAGATCCAAGAAGAATAGAGGGTAATTGGCTTCACGTTACATGACGTCCTACACGGCGCCTCCGCCAAATTACTCTCCAGAATGCCCACAGAATCTACTTCGGGCGCTGGATGAGCCGATCTCTGGCCTTCAGATCTTCATCATCCCAGCAACAGACACGTTGACCTTCCAAAAGGGCTATCTAGGAGCTGAAGGAGAGCGCGCTGCTATTGAGGGAGAAATTCATGTCAAGGGTGCACAGCCAGGCCAATGGAAACATGTGTTAGTGTGACTGCTCCTCATCTATTCCGAGTAACTCACCGTGGCAGAACAGCACCGTGGCTCTTTGTGTCGTCGAGTCTGCGTTTGGCCAGGAAATCGAGCTGGGAAAATCAGAGATAAACCTAGTCTCGTTCACGGGGACGTCCGACTCCATGTCATCTTCAACATCATTCGCAATACCCCTGACATCTGATGCACCTCAGTGTATTCATACACCTCATTCATCTCTGGAATATGCACTTACGGCGACTTTCCATCCTACGAATACGTCGGAGCCAGTTGTGTCAAGAAGGATTGTTGTGCATACGCGACGTTACACTTCGCATTCTCATACTGTAGATACGTTGCCAGAAACCCACGTCCTGGAAAGTCCCTCCCGTGTCGAAGTCCAAGTTCCTCGCACTATATTCCGGGCCGGTGAATTCATCCCAGTCTATGTTACCGTGCCTCCGCCGAGCAGGGAGCTTATGCTGCGCGAAGGACTCAGACTCCGAAACGTAAAAACCGAGATCGTTCGCATCGTGAGCCTGAAAGGGCAAGGTGATGGTGGTGATTCTGAACCTGGCATGCCTTATGGTCAATCCGTAGTGGACTTGTCATCTCAGGATGGGCCTTCCTCGGTGGTACCCACTTCCCCTGCGGAGAAGCCTCCGATCACTTCTCCTGGATCGACTTATAGTACAGTAACTTCTCGCTCAGGTGCATCCTGCAGATTTCACTCCTCTCGACCTGTGCGACTCCGCCTCATCTTGCATCAGGCTTCACCATCTGCGTCACCAGTAGATTATCAGACAAGTTTGCCAGAGGGTGACTACAGCAGCCTTGACAACGATCTGCAATGCATCTCCATCACTCAATCCACCCTTCTACATTCAGTCTCTTTCCTTCTAAACGTCCACGTTTCATTCGTGGAAACAACCAGCAGGACCGAGCGGCTCATGACTATCCCCATCCCATTAACCATCATTCCGCCCCCGGCGCCACTGCCTGAAGTTGAAGAATGGGTTGATGCCGCGTATCAGAAAAAACACGACCGCCCCCCTTTGAGGACAGTCCGTCAAGAAGATCTGGAGTCATCAATTCCCTTGTATCAGGAAGGAGAAGCGGGTCCAAGTTATACTCAGAACGGTGCCCCTCCCCCTTTTGAAGACCGTGACTTGCCGCCTCCACCATTCTTCCATTCTTTGCCTTCTACGTCCAATGCTCCACCAAGCTTCCAGGAATCTGAGTCGGAAATATTTATTCCTTCAGACACAACGGACCAGGAGGTACCTGTAACCACAGCACTTCGTATCATTGGCGAAGGAATATTGTTTGGGTTTGCTGCATCTGAGCAGTTTGATGGTCATTCGGACACAATGCACCGCTCGTCAACTCCACCCCCTTCAGTGGAGATGGCAGAGCGAGATGCAGATGTGACGGGATTTGCTAATATCGGGGTTGAACCCGTCCGAGTCTTTGAGGCTCTGAATATCGTTTCAGATGATTGCCCCCCACGCTCTGGAGGTGAACTCCCTCCTCCACCGCCTGCGATGGATGATCCGTCAGACCCACCTCCTTCAATAGATTCCGATTTCAGGTCGCCCTCGGTCCGGGTCCCCGTGCAATCTCACTCACCCCCCCTCGCCCATCAGTCATACAATCAAACTCCCGCGACTCGTGATTCTCTACACCCTCCCAATGACATCTTAGATCACTCTTCTTCACATGGACATGCGCCACCGCCTTATCTTGTTCCTGGCAGTGACCCTGACCATGAGGAACACGTGATGCGACCACCTCCGTACATGGACTTGGTTCCCTCTTCATCGTATTTGAACAGCTCAATTCACTAAAGGGACTTTGTTACCATTCCAATCTGTGCATCTCTTAGAGCTTACTGTTACCTCAAATGTGCTGTGCTGCAACTGTATTTATAAGTTACCATCGAACCGTACCGTACCAAGTCCAATGTTTGTGTTGCAGATGAATTATAAAAGCAGATTACATATGAAGGCAAAGGCAACCGTAGCCACGTAGATGGTAAAGAGAGGGGAATAAAAGGTGTGCTAATAAGTAGAAGCGAGACGGTCGCGAAGGGTTGAAGATAATGCGGTCCAAATAATTAGCGCCACACTCAACAGTTGCATCCATCTTTCTTGGACTGTTGCTCCTCTAGGTTCACATCCTCTCTGGCCCCACCAGTTCGTCCGCCTGCACCACCGGATCGACCTGCACCACCTCGTGTAGAAGCCAGAATGTGCTCGATCGGTATTTTCTTCGCTGAATTTGATTTCAAAAGGGAGTTCCATCTCGAGTGCAGTGGGCGTACCTATTTCTGTAAATATCTCGACGACACCCTCGCCAGTCTTGGCACTGGTTTCAAAGAACAGCAAGCCAGCCTCGGTAGCGTAAGCCTGAGCCTCCTCGCGTGGCACCTGTCGCAAACTCTCTGGCTCGTCACCACTAGCACTAGGACTCTCCCCAGGCGTGGCTGTAGCATCATCCGCCTCATCTTCAGACTCGGATGATGGAGTGGACCCAGATGACACAGCGGATGTTTGTACGAGATCAACTTTGTTGCCAGCCAGTGCGATGACGATGTTGGGATTTGCCTGTCTTTGAAGTTCCTTCACCCATGACTTCGCCTTCTCTAAACTCGTTGCTTTCGTCACGTCGTAAACGACCACTGCGGCTTGAGCATTACGATAATACATGGGCTACATTCACGAATCAGAGCAGGTGGTAAAGCTGTGCTCGGAACCTACAGCGAGAGAGTGGAAACGTTCCTGGCCAGCAGTGTCCCAAATCTCATAACGTAGGACGCGGTCTTCGAGACGGCATTTCTGAGTCAAGAATGCTGCGCCAATGGTGGGCTCCTTGTTTGCTTGAAACTCGTTCGAGACCTAGAAAGCGGTTTAGAGGTGGCAAATGTACGAAAATATACACCTACAAAACGGAGGACTACCGAGGATTTGCCAACAGCGGCCTCCCCTATAGATATGTGTCAGTTCTCGTTCGTTGGCAAGGAAGAGTGAGGAAGGGAGTCTTGAGCCAGTTTGATAGCAAGTGCGAATAGTGTCGATGGTACTTTTAGTGATAGCTGAGAAGGCTTACCGAGAAGAACCAGTTTGACCTGGACAGACCTGTCCACGGAGCCAGAAGCAGCATCAGCCATTATTATCGTGTCGAGGTTGTAAAGAAATATAGACACTGCAACTTGAAGGAAGGAAGCAGGCGGCAACAACTCAGTACTGCTGCGTTTTCCGACTTTGTTTACGTCTGTATTCAGATCTCACACTGGGTCAGCCCCAACATCTACAGTAGTTGGATGACTTCTTGATTCTTGAAGTACTTTGTCTGGCGTCGATACTACTAGGGCGTATAACTCAACAAAGGGGCCAGCTGCGCACATCTCACATCGATCTCATCATTTTCGTTTTCTCCATCCTGCTTGAGAACGCCAGGTCAAGCATACAGGTGTCACATTCAACGCAGGAGCGTGTTCTCTCAACGGGTCAAGCCCCACCTGCAACTGGCTAATTGTTGCTCTTCGAAGCTGCAGCAGGCGAATGCTGGTTTGATTGAAATACCAAGGATGAGTTGATATCCTTCCATTGCAAAAACCGCATACATTTAACGTCAGGGTCATGCTGCAAGATGGGAAGATGTCTCTGACAAGGACATTGTGTATTCAATAGCGGTCAGTATTGTTGCACTATCCAGCTCGAGCTCTCGATTGAAACTAGGCTTTGATCCACGGTTACGTGGCTACTCTCTCAGGCTATCCTTGGCTATTTGACCTGAGCCTGATCTGAAGAACCACGAGTTGCGATACGAAATTAATGGTCAATTAATATCGTGACGGATAGTTCTAGTTAACACTCATCCATCCAATATCGGACTTGAAATTCGGACGAAGGCTATTGCATCGCGTTGTGACGGATATCATACGATTCTGCTGCCTTAGTGCTACCAGTACTAGTGTTGTAATGAGTGAAACACAAATTTGGACCCTTATCGCGTGAACGACACTCGGGCTGAAATTAGTACTGGTCTGAGTAGCCTTGCCGGCATTTGGGTTGCTTCGGCACTCTCAGGCTTTCAAGCTCTGATACGACAAACCTGTTCAGAGCAGTTCTATGTACCTCGCCGGCCCACTCGGTGAGTTCTGCGAACGAGCATTGAGGCAGTTAACATACTAGACATGGATACAGATTTTCAACCAACCAGGGAGAGCATACCCCCTCCGAATGTGAGCTACCAGCAATCGGTGCTCGGTCTTGCCCCCAACGTACATCCTCTTGTAAGCAATATCTCAACAATATCCACCGTCTCTTTACTCACCAGAATTTCCATAAGAACCCCTTCTCCTTTATTCTTCGTGCCGCAACGCTATACCCGGACAAACTTGCCCTTGCTCATCCAGATGTGAAACATCCTGCGTTCTATACCTATGCCGTTTGGTGGGACCGCTGTGCTTCGTCGAGAACTAGTCTGACAGCGGCAATAGGGCTCAACGCATCCAGAACATGGCGTATGCTCTTATACAAGCAGGCATCCGCCCAGGTGACCGCGTTGCAGTTATAGCGCCCAACTGGTGAGCTCTACTATATCACGCTCTTGACACGTCTCACACAAAAGTACGATAGCCCCTTGATTGCAGGTATGACCCCCATTTTGTTGCACCTGACAATAATGAAACACTCTGGGCAGATGCTCACTTTGGTGTTCTTGCCGCTCGTGCTATCATCACACCTGTAAACACTCGCCTCACACCCCCTGAGGTCTCGTACATTCTGGAACATAGTGGATCCAAACTTATCCTCATTGATCACGACTTCACGCATCTCATTGAGAACACTAACGTTCCTATCATTGTTTGTCATGACACAGGAAGAGCAGGTGACCCATACGAAAGCTTCCTTAGTGCAGGCAGAGTATTCAGTGCAGAAAAGGGGTGGGCTGGCTTGGACATCGAGCTGGACGAGAACGCTGGTGCAGTTTTATGCTACACGTGAGTCACCACTCTGTATGCAGTTTGACTAAGAACTGAACGCGCTTTTACAAGGTCGGGAACTACAGGTCGTGTAAGATTCGCTTGTGTCTGCAGGTGAAAGAAATTGCTCATTTCGCATAGCCAAAGGGCGTCATTACCACACTGCGCGGTACGGTCTGTCAACTTACTCCACTTTATTTGGCTAATGCTGTTGTCCAACCAGGCTCGTACTTGGCAGCAATAGCGAACGTTATCGAGGGACAGTGCGCGCCTCTGTCTTGTTATGTCCTTCTGATAGGCTTACCAGTCGGATTTGCAGGATAAATCGCGAGTCAACGTACTTGTGGTAAGTTTTATGTGATGGCACGAACAGTCGAGAATACAACGGACTACAGGATTCTTCCAATGTTCCATGCAGCTGGTTGGACGTTCCCATGGGCAAATGTCTTCGCATGCACGACACAGGTGTGCAGAACACGACGTCGTGCTTATAACCACGAACTATCTTCTTGTTCCAGATAACTATGCGCTCCGTCGACTACCCACTTATCTGGAAGCACTTCCTGAATTCCGAAGTAACTCACTATTGTGGTGCACCCACTGTCCAGGTTTGTGCGTCGTACAGGGACACGGATTGATCTGATGTGCCGATAGATTGGAATTGTGAACGACCCCGCTGCCAGACCTCTCCCTCGTACTATATCAGCCATTATTGCAGGGGCCGCACCCACTGCTCAACTCATCAGCCAGCTCGAGCAGAAGGGAATCAAGCCTGTGCATGTATACGGTCTGACGTAAGTCCAATGTAGCCTTTGATTTGTGCCTAAGCTGATTCATTCTTCTGTCATCACCAGTGAGGTACGTGCTTCGGCGTTGATTAAGGAAGTGGCAAGCCTGAACATGCTTTCAAAGACGTACGGGCCCTTCACGCGCTGCTATGACCATCCTCACTGGAAGACGCTGACTTTGGAACAACGCGCGAAGCTGATGGCTCGACAAGGTCAAAGCTTCGCCACCGCGCAAGATGTACGCGTAGTATATCCTTCACAAGACGAAAACGACGAGGAACTCCGTGACGTTCCAAAAGACGGACTCACGGTAGGTGAGGTTCTCATGCGTGGAAACATAGTCATGAAGGAGGTGCGTTTTTCAGCGGTTGTGCCAAAGTTCTCGTATGCATTCTAACCATTTGTTGCGTAGTATTTCCGCGACCCAGAAGCCACGCGCAAGGCTCTTCGGGGAGGTCACTTCCATTCAGGTGATCTAGCCGTCTGGCATCCCGATGGTGTCATACAGGTCGTTGACCGAAGTAAAGACCTGATTATCTCCGGAGGCGAGGTGAATATGTGTCCTCGCGGTGATTCAAAGTGCTGACTTGAAGACCGCAGAATGCATCGAGCCTGGCCATAGAACTAGGTATTTTTGCGTTTGAATAGTTACTAAGTTGTGGATCCTGAACGAGCCACGCAGAGCTTTCGAGTCACCCGCATGTTTTAGAGGTATCTGTCGTCGCCCGCTCGCACCCCAAGTGGGGTGAACGTCCAATGGCTTTCGTAATTCTTCGTCCGGAGCACGCCCCCAAGTGGAAAGACAACCATGACAGCTTTGGTACTGAGCTGATCCGTCACGCTCGAACGCTTTTACCCGGTTTTGCGTGCCCAGAATGGGTGCAAATAGTGAACGAATTACCTGTCAGTCATGCATAACATCCATCCACATCCCGCTAGACGCTTACAATACTTACAGAAAACATCCACTGGGAAGATCCTCAAGACCAACCTTCGCAAAGTCGTTGCTAAACTGTGATCTTAATGATCTAATGCTAATATATTGCTGAAATGTATCGGTACATACTTATGCTCGATTTGCCAAATAAAAGGATATGAGTGAGTGATAAAACAACAGCTGAATGG